CAATTGCAGAGCAAATTTTCGTGCGTGCGCGAGTATCGATATAAATTGAGAAATAAGACATAAATTGCCATGCTTGGGATCTTTCAGGTACCTTCATCCGGTTCGTAATTTCACTGTGCTAACATCGCCACAATATCTGGCAATGCTGAGGAGTAGTAAGGAGGCACTGGACAAGCAACGAAACAGTGGGTTGAGGCTAATGGAACCGAAACAGATTTTGAAACACTTGCAGAGCGGACGTTTGCTGCATCCAAATGACTTACTATTGGCAGCATCGAGTCAAGCGAACGCCGATACAAAACATTTTCATGGTTCCATTGCATTGCACCCATTGCAAAGATTCACTGCTGATGTATTGACTAATAAGTTACATGCAAAGTCATCAGCTTCGAAGTCACCAATCGTACAAAATGCTGACGAGGAAAGATTACGGCAACTGAGAACTGCATTGAATCGAGCCAATCATCTGGGTTGGATTTGGTGAAGAGCAGAAAATCACGAGTTTTATTCATATCCCACTATGAACCGTATTCTTTTGACGATCGCACAAACAGCAGTGATAATTGAAGTTAACAAAAACGAGCGACTAATTGAAGATTTGATCGTCAGTTGCGAATAAAGCTTATCAAATTTATAGGTGAATTATCTAGTTTCACAGAAAATTTAGTATGCAAGNTCATTCGCTGATCATCTGGCTCTGGGAACATTTCTCCTTAGAATATATTAAGTACTTGGCAAATCATAGAACAAAATAATCTGTTTGATGAATTCGGAAAACTGACTGTGAACAATCTGACTGTGAAGCAAACAGCCGGCGAAGAAGCCAAACATAGGTATCTCAGGTATCTCATCCAATTAAATGCTTTAATAGTCGTCCCAATGATATTTTTGGATACGATCAATGTCAAAATGCAGTCCACTGCTTAGACACTAGGATTGATCAGTGCAAAATGCACGTAATATGCAACTTCGCGATTACGTCTACTAGCACTTTCAATTTATCAAAAAATTCTGAGATTGCAGATCTTTTGAACATTTGACTTCATTTAAATTGTGTTATTGTGCTAAATATCAAGATTTCACTGTATTATATGATGTAATTGTCAGGAAGAGAAATAAAGAATTATATTGCCCTTTTTTCAGCGCACAGTCACTATTTGAATTTGTCATCTTCTACTGAAATAAGCTTCCTGTAAAGGAAATGGATCTCTTAAATATCAAAGTTTTTGGGAGACGTATTACATTTAGTTTATAGTTTGTTGAGGACACTTATTGCCCTAGTAGGCCTTTCGATAGAGTGGATTACTTTGGGGAGCATGTTTTCATTCAAGAAGCTTATATTGAAAGAAATGAGGTGTTCCATTAACGTAAGAAGAGTTTCTAATAGTTTCTGATCTCATTATGAATCCGGATGATAAGGCAGCTGGNCTCCTAATACGACTCTATCAGAATTCATCAGCCACGCAGTCCAAGAGGAGTTATTGGGTTGTTCAGATACTGAACAGCTGCTTAGTCTATCCACGAATTAAGCATTTGCAATGCTTGAAATTTGCGATGCGTCCCCTAGAGTCTGGATATAAAGTTGCCATCAATATAAGACATTAAAAAAAATAAACTGTTAAAAAATCAAGTTTAAAAAAACTCAAATTCAAGTGATTCCTTAGCATCATACAATCCATACTTTTCCGTTTTATGCGCAAAAGATGAATGCGTAACAACTTATTGGGCTCTTCTGAAACGATAAGTTGGTTTTTCATAGATGTGTGTAATGATAGAAGTAATGCGTTAAAGGTGCTGAATAGTCCTTGTGAACGTATCACAGATTAACATTCAATTCACTAATCGTACATTGACCGACATCATATTGCACTGAATCCGAGTGATGGGATATGGTTGTTCAGTTGAATAGTCCTTTAAGTGATATTTCGATAATAACATCAGAGGAAATGGAATCGCGATATAATGTGGACTTCTCAACCGGAAGGACATACGATTATCCGATGAGCTAATCATATGACGAAGGTAATAATGAACCATGAACACACCATAACCAACGTAAAGCTGTTCACAATCAATTCCTTTCAACTAAATGGTAATGACAATTGATAAGCAAAATTGATTTATTTTTATCGGTGAAATATTTCAAAAATGAAATATTAAAAAG